CTCGTTGGTTCCGACTGTTTGATGCTCGTCTTGTGCAACACCCTGATCGTTTTCGCTATATTGAATCTGCAGACTATCGTCCGGTTCTGGGCTCGACTCGTGTTCCACCTGTGAGGAAATATGTATGAACTCGAGTGTGTTCGGAGCACCTCGCGACTCTGCCTCACGCCTCTGCCGCTGGCTCTGCGAGTCCGCTACGGTGGTATCGGGTATCGTCTCGGGTATCGATCGTGCGGGCGACAACGCGTGTTGTGCTGCTTCTTCAATGAGTTCAAGTAGGCCCTGCAAACACTGGTTAGTACACACACCGATGTCTGGACATGAAACAGGTTGAACATACGGAATCTTCAGCAAGATCTTCCTCCACTTGCGATTCGTTCGTATCAGTGCTCTGCTGGCTGACGTCTTCGGTGCGTTGGGTCGTGGGTACGAAGCTTCCTTCACCGCTGGAGCTCTGCGAGTCGGGGACTATGTCTGACAGATGAGGTCGTGGGCGTGCTGCGAACAGCTGCGAGCTGTCGAGATTGGTGTCCTGGGTAGGCTCTGGGGTCGGAGCTGGCTGGGACGATGGTGTCTGCGAGAAGCGCACGTAGTCGTTCCTCTCGAGACTGGAACCCCGTCGAGCAATCTGGATGCGAGGCGAAGCACGAGCTGCCGACACTGCGGCACTTGGCAGTCCCTCCGAGTCGGCTCGATCGTCGAGAGGTGTCGAAGGCGTAGAGGATGCGGTGCTGGGCTCCGGGCTGCTGTCAATCACACGGGGATTGCGGATGCGCCTCGATGCTTGTGCCTCCTGTGATTGCTCAGGGTGTCCGTTGTCGCTTCCTGGATATTGCTGATGGACTTCTGCCAAGATGCGCGCCTTCTCCTGTGCCCAGTGGGCGACGAGTAAGTCGTTGGCGTTCTCCTCTGGCTCCCAAGTCGGTTCCCACGTCTTTCCAGTCTTGGGGTCAATCCCTTGCCATTGGATGTAGTATTTGCGTACACCACGGACAACTCGTTCGTCGAGAATGCTCTCTGCTGCCCACAAAGTGTCGCTCTGGCTTCCCGGTTCGCTTTGGCTTGAATCGACGTATCGTGAGCGTTTGTTTGTGTTGGACCTCGTCGAGTTGCGCTTCCTCTTGGGTCGCGCCATTACGCGCAACGTCCGTTGGAGATGGTGTTTGAGTACGTTGTCTCCATTGTGGGTAGAAGAGGTGAGAGTACTAGTGCCTAGGGCCGTGGGCGGGTGAGTGGTGACTGTTGGGTGGTGAACGGTGATGGGTGCGGGACTATCCGCGAATGACGAGAGCCCGCGGTGGACGCGTCGCGGGCGCGTCCCTGACTGCAGTGCCGCGGCATCACTGATTTCAAGCCGCCATATCCATTTGGGGGTCCCAGATACTTGTGCCATTAATACAAGCTTAAACAAGAGATATCTTTTGCATTATACAATCTTCATGCGATCTATTCGGAGCATGCTACGGGTTGCGCCAATGTCATTCACTCGCGTCAACACATAAAAACGAAAGACCAAGTATACAAGGAGTAGATTAGGCAAGCTATAATCAAGCCACCCAGATAAGGGCTCTAAACTCTTTCGTAAGAATATACATGCTTCCTCCAAGGAATGCCGGCATGTGTTGGATATCCTACAGTTTTGCGCATGAATCCTGAACGCATGTCTGCATGCGCCATCTGGTCGCAAGCGTTCACACCTCATCTCAGTATCGCCCGCCTCGTCCGTTACCCCTCCAGCCTCCCCTGTTGCCGTTGTTGCCACCGCGCTGCCCAGCTCCATAACCGCGTCCGCCTTGGTATCCGCCACGGTTTTGACCATACTGGCCATTGTTGCCGGGACCGAAGTTGGTACCATACTGGTTGCCGCCCTGATTTCCGAATTGGTTGCCGCCCCGGTTTCCACCCTGGCCTCCGTGATGGTTACCAAATTGGTTGCCACCCTGGTTGCCTTGTTGCGGACCGTTCGGTGGCATGTTCATGTTGGGAGGAGGAGGTTGCCACATGCCGTTGAAGTTGGGGGGCGGGGGAGGGGGAACGAAGCCACCACGTCCTTGGAACTGCGGTGGTGGAGGGGGAGGAACACCGAATGGCGGCATTGGCATCGGGAACTGGCCTTGGAACTGGCCTGACATGTGCGGTGGTGGAAACGGCGGCGCGTTGAAAGGCGGCTGATGCAGCATGGGCGGGACCTGGTGCTGATGGTTGTTGGGGCTGGACTGGGTGTTCCTGTTTGCACCACTCCACTGCGAGCCAGGCTGAGATCCTTCTCTGTCGTATGCCCTTGATGACGGTCGCGCCTCGACAAAACCCCTGCCCTCAGACTCTCGGCGCGAAGGTCCATGTGGTGAGACCCTGCGGCGACCCATGGATCCGTCGGGCGACATTCGACGGCGTGCGTCGTCATACTGATAACCCCCAGGGCTACGGCGACTGCGACTGCGACTGCGGCTACGATTGTATCCCCTTCTTCGCTCCCTATAGGGTGGGCCCGACTCTGTCGACGAGGAGGTAGAGGGTCGACTATCGTGGCCAACGCGACGCGCGACAGACAAGACCGGGGGGTCCTCCATGTCCTCCATGCGTTCTATGTCCTCTCGCGCGATCTTGATGGTCTCCGGGACGGTGAACTTCTGTATGTCTTGACAAAACTTTGGCGACCACCCGTAGCCGTTTGCCACTGTAGCTGTCTCGCCAGTCTCCTTGTCTTGCTTAACCAGCTGGCCCATAGGATCCAACGAAAGCCTATACTTGGTTGTTTCCCCGGTCGGATTATCGCCCGTTGGCAGGTACTTTAGGTCGATGTTTTCGAAGAAGTTGTCGAGGAGAGTGCGAACGTGCGAACTGACAGGTTTCTTGTCAAACTTCCGTATCTTAATCTGAGATTCGTGGATCGGGCGGTTCGGGTTTCGGATTATAGGCTCGAGCATGTACGATGCGGGGAGATCGTGCCATCTGGCGTTTCGGTCGCCGTGGTATTCTGGGAGGACGTAGTTGCGCTTGCGACCCTGTGCTACGGACAAGGCCTCGTCTGCCTTGTGTCGACAAGTTTTCAGACCCTCTGAGCTCAAGAGCTTGTTAACAGCCCAGTAGTTGACAATGGCTTTCAGCTTCACCTCTAGCTGCGATCCCTTCTCGGTGATACACGCCGCTGCGAGTTCGATCAAGTCAGGGACAAAATCTTGACACGCGTTGCCAAGAATACTCTGCTTCGTCGTGTCGCGACGATGGAACTTGTCAGCATGGAGGGCATCGTTGACGATCAGCAAGAGATCCATCCGGTTGCGCGCTGCTTTCTTCGCTAGCGCTGGAGTGCTCTGATCTACTACGACAGACTTTGAGACAGCGATGAGATACGCGCCGAGGGTGGTGATCCGAGCCTTGGAGGGAGCTACGTGCTTCACAATCCATTCTGTGCATTTCTACGAGCGGCGAATTAGTCTGCTCCTGGTGACATGCGATCAATGGTTTTATAGCTAGATACCTGGATATTGATGGGCGAGTTCTGCTGAAGAACGGCATCAACGTGGTGGAAGAGCTGCGAGCTAATTTCGACTGCAATGGGCGCTGAACGATCTTCGGCATCTGTGTCCTTCATTGCCTGCTTGAACTTCACCTGCGCAATCGTTAGACCTGACTTGCGCTTAGCATCATCATTTGGCGCCATGTTTGGCGACGTGAGGTTGCGACAACGAGTTCGTGGTGGGGAAGGAGGTCGGCATGGGTGTCGCGAGGGTGTTGATGTTTCCAAGCTTGCGAACGCGAACGACGCTAAGCTAGCGCGCCTTCCGCATCGTTCACCCCGCCATCGGCCAAGGCAATCACAAATATGTCCGCCAACGACGCCATCCAAGATGAGGTCACCTCGCTCAACGCCATCTTCGACGAAGGTACCCTGTCAGCCTTGGATGAAGATCAACGACTATACAGTCTACGTCTGCCGTCGCTGCCATCGATAACTCTGCGTATAGAATTTCCGGCAGACTATCCGGATGCACCGCCATCCGTGCTAGGCACTCAGAGTGTGGGACAAGATGTTCCCAAGGGTATGGGCAGCCAGGCTGTCGATGTAGTGAGAGAAGTTCTGGCAAGAATCTACCAGCCCGGCGAGGCATGTATCTACGATCTGCTCGAAGAGGCAAGAGAGGCTTTGGAGCAAGCGGAAGAGCAAGGAGACATCCAACTACACGATCAACACCAGGACGAGCATTTAGAAGAAGACAAAACTTTCCCTATACAGTCCGACCCGGCCATCGACCTTGGATCGGAGCCACCTTGGATCGTAGCACCTGCCTTCACCGAGAAAAAGTCGATATTCTTAGCCCGCGCAGCACCTGTATCGTCACCAGCACAGGCTAGACAGTACGTTGCGCATCTCCTAGCGACAGACAAGAAGGCTGCTCGCGCAACTCATAACATGACTGCCTGGCGGATCAAAGGCCCCAACGATACAAGCTACCAAGACTGCGACGATGATGGTGAGACTGCTGCAGGATCGCGCATGCTGCACTTAATGCAGTTGATGGATGTTTGGAACGTCATGGTGGTTGTCACAAGATGGTATGGTGGTATACATCTAGGTCCTGACCGCTTTCGCATCATCAACACTACGGCTAGGGAGGCATTAGTCTTGGGTGGCTTCGCAAAAGAAGGCAAAGACAGCGATTCAAAGAAGAAGGGGAAGAAGTAGAAGAGACACATTGCATGCTCGCTGTGAGACATCTATCTAGTCTTCACAAGGTCATCCGTTCATCTTCATCTTCCCGGTGCACTGGCATGCTCCCACAGCTTTCACTTAACCCACAGCTGACCTATTACATAACGCTTCCAGAATTCACTCGCATTAGATCATCTCTCATTCACTCGACCGCACAGACCGTCGCCTATTTAAGTCGCGCCTGTTTCATATTGCGCACTCACCACATCACTGCGCGTTTCTCCCAATCACAACCAATCAATCACTGAACCTCACAGAACGAAACCTTCGACACATACTATAGAGAATGAGTTACTCCGGCCCTGGAAATAATAGGTCGAACTCCGGCAGTCGTGCGGGTCAGCATTTCGGCACACGAGGACAGCGTCTCGGTGGTGGTGGTGGCGGCCATCCACATCAAACTCGCAGCCAGGCTACAGCGTATGTTCCCCAACGCTCTCGTCAGCCCCCTCACATCGTGTTCATCGAGGAGGAAGATGACGATGACGATGAGTACGAAACTGACATCAGAGACTCCAGTCCCCACGGGTTCCACGATGCTATGCACCATCTAGCCGACACTATGGCGGATCTGGACAGTATGCTCGGCGACGGGCGACAAGGCCACAGCATGCGAGAATCTTTCGGCCCTGGTTTTCCCTTCAACGATGCGGGCGGTATTCCGGGGTTCGACGCCCTTCATATCGGTATGGATGCTGCGTTCGATAGTGCATTTGAGGGAGCCTTCAGCCATCCCATCTTCTCTGGAAACGACGTCGCTCATGAGCCTAGAGCTAATAGACCTGGAAGCAGTTTCGGCGCGAACTTTCCATTTGGACCTGCCAGTAACACTCCTATCCATGTTGGAGGCTTCGGACGAGGCGAAGACCTGCCTTTCCATACCCACCCCACCCCACCACGTCGATCTGGGTACGTTCCAGTCCCTACACGAGGCGGTTTCCCAGTCGAGTTTGAGCCTCATCCCCTCCCAGCAGACTACCAACCCACTGAAAGCAGCGAGCAGCGTATCAACAACTTCGTCGCACGCAATACCGAGCCCCTCACCGCCGCCAATACGACTAGCACGACAAACACAGATTGCCCAGTCTGCATGGAGAATGCTGCGGCTCATCCATGTGTGAAGATCAAGGGCATCCAAGGCTGCGAACACATGATTGGACGAGACTGTCTCAAAGAATTCCTGAAACAGCGGCCGGATGACGAAAAGACATGCCCTCTTTGCCGAGCTGTCTGGCTTGCAGAGAACGGCGTTTGGCAAGATTCGGATCAGTGGAGTGAGCGTATTGCTCAGGCGAACCTAGGTCATCGTTTCGCGAGGTGGTGAAGATGATTACGGGTTGCAACAAGAGGTACCTGGAAGACGAGGAATCGAAGGCTGGCGAGGTCTGTGGGAATGGCTATGTGCGTGGTGGACATGAGGCGGAGCCCTGGATTAAGATGAAGGAAGGCTGCTTTGGTGGTTGGATAGAGTGATTAGCTAGTAATCTCGCAGATGAAGAAGGGGAATGAGAATGAGCACGTGTATGGCACGTCACAAGGATGCACGCAAGCAATTATATATCAGATTGATGAAACTTCAAAACAATATTGATAAAGAGTGGATATCGAACACACTGAAGGTTACATCGCTGCGAGGTCTTTTACTCTGCGAATCCTACCTTGACCTAGTCTGTAGATCTGTTCAGTTTCCATCCTGTAAGAGATGGTCCCATTTTTCCGGGCAGCACGGATCGGTAGCGAGCAACTGCTTAGTTATTTTCCGAAGCTCAGCCTGGATCTCTGCGTCGAAGTAATTCCAGTTCGGAGGCACCGTGAAGTGACCCTTAGCCGTGTGGTCGCTTCCTCTCGTACTAGTGATTCTGCCATATTGAGGGGGCCGGTCGTCTCGTTTAAGCATGGTGAGTTGCATGGATGTTTGGTCGTTCAGTAGCTTTTCGAGGTACTGCATCTGATCCCTGTAATCGTCTTGCCTGTGACCGCCGCCTGGTACAAAGTGGGTTCGCGAATGACAGATGTATGTATGTTGTAGGGCGCAGGATGCGAGTACATCATATCTGAACTGAAGGTAGGACACTGTGCTCGAACTGCAGGATACACCCATGGAGAATTGCGCGTCGTCAAGTAGCGAGTCTGGGGCTGTAGCAGGGGTGATTTCGGTGGTATCAAGCTTGATTACCCATGAGAGATTGTCGCCAGCGGTCCGCGCGGAAGCGAACTCCGGGTGTGACTCCGACGCCTCTCCATAGGGGTTGACCACCCACTCGCCAGTCTTGACGATAAATCCTTCTTCGAAGTCGCACTTTATCGCGGCAATCGCGGGTGAAGATTCTGCTTGTGACATTGGTATCATTAGGTACGACGTTCGCTTGCGGATGCTCGTGGTGGGAAACAGGTAATAGGCCTTATTCCAAGAAATGAAGCATGCTCGAGAAGAGGTCATACAGCATTTGAGGAACACGTCGATGGGTGAATGAACACAGTGCCGAAGAGTGATGAAAACTTGGCTACGGTCATTGGGCGACGTTTTCGTGAAGAGAGAAGACTTCCAGTAGTTAGTGACATCTATTTGGATAACGATGCATAGTAACGCAGACTTACCCTTGAAGCACCAAACGTAACGCGGTCATGAGAGAAGTCTTTGTCTCGAACATACCCGTTCTTTTCGAGATAGCTAATGAGAGCATCTGCCTTCTCCCCAGCTTGCGTAAAGAGCTCAAGTTCGTTCTTGACCTGCAGACGACGGAAGAACTTTCCGGCGAATTTGCTTCCGATCAGAGTCTCGGTCTGGGCCTGTACAGAGCGGAACTTTTGAGTATTCTTGAAGAATGGCTGCAGGCTTGTGTTGATGTTCCACTGGGTCTTCTTCATGTTCGCGTACAGATCCGATGTCTTTCTGCAGGCTAACTGAACATTGCGTATATCATCAATACCCAGGTAAGATGTGACGAGTGAGTGCGTTGTGTAGCGCGACTCTCGATTGATGACAAGATCCATGAGGTCTGACACTGGATTCGGGGGTGGGCGCGGCAGAGACATGGATTGGACTGTTGGAGGCGAGATTTCTCCGAGTTCTTCCACGCGCGCTTTAGCAGGCTCGTTCGAGGGTTGATTGAGTTGAGCCATCGTGGTCGATAATAAGTGTGGAATGCGGTTGGGTAGATCGATGCAGCCTTGAGAGAAGAGAAACGAATGATATAAGTACTCAAGGCGTAGAAACCGATTAGGTGAAAGCCGGGATAGATAAAAGGAGGCAGTATACCACGCGGGCCCGTCTTAGTGAAATAGACTCTGAGCTGGATTACGGTGCCTTAAGCTGAGGCATCGAGTGCGTGTAAGAAGAGTGGGTTCTTCTCTGCAAGAGAGTTCTCAGCCCATTCACTGAAGTGCTCGATTCGCAACTGGCACTTGAAACCTCTTTCTCCCCTTCCACGACCAATCCACAGCAGCGCCTAATATGATCGCCCCTAGAATCGGTCCCGCATAATTCATGTTGAACCTGTCCACAGGGAGGATAGTGGGCAGTGGCATCCAAACAAAGGTGAAGACAATGTAGCACAAAGCTCCAACGTTGATGTATGCGCCAGCTGCGCCCAGCTTGAATGGACCCCATGGAATTGGTAGAGGCCTCGCGCTTATCGTCCGACGCCAGAAAAGGAACAAGATGGGCAGAAAGTACGATAGGTACAAGCCCATTGCCGGAAGGGAGATAAGAGCGTTGAACGCCGTACTCGATGCAATGTTGATAAGAGCCAGGATACAAACGCAGAGGCCGCTGAGACACAATGCGTTGACCGGTACCCTCAGCTCAGGGTGGACCTTAGCAAAGGTATGCGAGAACGGCAATCCCTCGTCCTTGGAGAACGCCCAAATAAGACGAGAAACCGAGGCGAATATGTTGAAGAACGATACGAAGATTATGTAGACCAGCATGAACATGAACAAATTTGTGGCTGCTTTAGATCCCGTGGCCTGATAGTAGACTTCGATAATTGGTAGAGGCGAAGCGGAAGCGCGATCCACGTCTCCAATCGTGAAGAGAACGGTGATCATGTAGATAAGTTGCATGAGACCGTTCATTCCGACAGAGAAGATGATGGAGCGCGGAACCCGGGTATGTGCTTGCTTGACTTCGTCGGACATGTGGATTACGCTATCGAAACCTGAACTCATCAGTATAGCTGCGGCAAGCCAGGAATCTATCAGAACTTACCGGCCAGCGGGTATACAGCAGTGATCAGCCCTATACCCCAGGCCACCGTAGGGTTTCTCCAACCACTGATGTCGTGGGTCAAGGTCTGAAACACATATTCCGTGGAACTCTTTTCTGCCATTACAGCCAAGGTAACGATACCCGCAAAGAAGAACGCGACATGGCATATTGCCCCCACTGTCTCGAGGACGTTGATAATTCTAGGAAGCCAAAGGTTGCCGATGAACGGAATTATCGTCGAAGCGCACATGATGAGTGTTGTGTGCCACCGCTGAACCACGTACCCTGGGTTATTGAAGGAGGCCATAGCGGCGACGATATTCGATATTAGCGCTGCATTCGAAGTGCAGCAACAGATCCAAGCGAAGACGGTGATCCAGCCTTGCATCAAACCGAAGAAGCGATTATATATTGGCGCGAAGGCGGCAGACCACCGGTATTGAGCACCAACTGTAGGGTCCATGGAAGAAATTTCGGCAAGCGATAAGGCTACGAGAATGGTTCCCGCCCATGCGAATACGCTACCGTAGACGATGGACGCTGGCCCGCCATTGCTCAGTGCGAACTGAAAAGTAAGCGCGGATGCTTCCCAGGAACATTGCATGAGGAAGGAAAAGTTCACAGAAGAGGAGGCGTTGATGTATCGCTGCAAGCCATTAGTGAAAGCCCATGTTTGAGCTGTGGTCTTACATCTAGTGCCCCTCCTCCAAGATCCTGCGTGCCATTGGTCCCCTGCTTCTCGATTGCTTGTTGCACAGCATTCTTCTCAGCGCTGATAATATCGCATCTCACGTCAATCGGTCTTATTCCTGTCGCATTTGTCATTTCTGTCATCGGTAATCAGGTGTTTCGTAATCCAGGGAGTTACCTTCAGAAGATGGGGCCTATGTTCTTATCAGTACCACCAGCCTTGCAAGATCAGTAACCCAAATGTCGAGCTGCATACATGACCGATGAGAGTACGTTGTACAACGTGAAAGCATGCCTGTTTATTCGGCCGTCTTTTGTGGCGGGCCTACGAGTGGCGTCCACTGCCAGCAGCATGCATGTCATCATGCACAGAGAGCTATGCAGTAGAAGCTGCTGAAGTGCTCGATTAACCAATCTGAAGCTGAAAACAGTATGCCACGGCGCATTGCGTTCAGAATCTCATTTCGTGATGGGTCTACTACCCCCATCACGGCCGCCGGCCCGGGCCTGCTGGGGTAACACGCAGCCATGAACGTCCACCGTGAAGTTGCGGTCTTGAGGACGAGATCAGAAGATGGAGCGCAGCACCCCAATGAAGATGCAGCACTTCAAGAAGAGCGGATCTCCTTGCATGATGGCGGCTGTGGTGGAACCCGGTAGCGACAGCGAATGACGTCATCGCTAGACTCGGGCGGCTCGATAATGGGCGATGGAGAAGCGAGGTTCCCAAAGGCCTTGCGGTACGCCATACAATGCGATACAGAACACAGCCAGTGCCCGAATGGGAGAAGATCAAGGTGGTGTAGATGGTGCAAATTGCAACGTGATTGAGCCGCCCCTTCTTTGAGCGCTTGAGCTAGCGTTTTAGCGTGACCGGCCCCCCGAAGCCTTCAGCCTTCGCAGTTACAGCCCACACGCTCCGCCATCCACATTATCATCAAACGACACGCATCCGCCATGCATCAAACCACCGAGGCACCACGGCTGACTACCCTACTGTCTCGAACCTGATCGAGCTCGGAAGCCCCTCCAGACCCCGACAGCTCATGCAATTGAATCTCCGCACTGGCCAGTTGTGCAGTCTCGCTGCCACCCTTCTCATATCGATAAATCTCTTTTGATGGCTGTTCTTCAGGTGCAACATAAGGCGTAGGGGCATCCCGCGCCTTCTTGCGCCAGCGCAGCGCCTTAGCGATGAATATGCCTAATCCGATCAAGGCGATGGCTCCAATCGAAGCTCCAACACCGATACCAGCTTTCGCACCTGTAGAGAGCTCACTGTCACCAGTAGCTATTGGCGTGCTCGACGGAGAAGACGATACCGTGGAGGACGCGACTGAAGATGCGGTCGAAGAAGAGACTAGTGAAGACGTCACGGTGGGTATGGGGTCGCCAAATCGCGCTGCTATGGTGTATCGCGGTGTGGTGCTCCCGTCCGTGCAGCATTGAGTAGTATTACCGCAACACCAGGTTAACGAATCAACGTCACCGGTGCATGGTGTCACCTTGGTATCTTTGCTTCTTTGTAAAGAATCCTAATCGTCGTCAGTTTTGATGGCCTACAAAGAATTCTGCGTCAATTGTACCTCGTCCGAACAGAGTTCCTGGCATCCTCCTTCTCCCCAATTGCTTTTCGTACACGACTCTCGCCAGATGGCCCCGTCCTCCTTATTCTGACACAGTCCGTTCCTCAGTAAGTTATCCCAACGAGCACAGCAAATATTGCTCAGAGGATCGGAGGTGTTGTTAATTTGTGTCGAGTACGCACTGCTTGTGTTTTCCGTGCCGTTGCGCCAGTAGCAGGCTGCCATTACAGGCTGCAAGGAAGCGAGTTGCAACAGGAATATGAAAGAGAAGATTCTGCGCGACATCACGAAATGATGGACTAACTGAAGAGCTGGACAATCGAGGAGACGCGACTCGGGCTGGTTTTAGTATTCAGCAACACACCCCTTTCGCGCATTCGGCTTACGACCGCTCGCGAGGCGCTTGGGGCCAACGCAGCATCTATTAGTCGCAACTACAATTCGCGCGATGAAGACCATTGGAAACAGAGCTTGGGCAGTGAGCGAGGTACACCATTCCGCTCAGCTTTGTGGTACTCAAAGTTGACACCGGTTGGTTAATATGGTAGCAGTAATCTCAGTCACACGTAAGCCTTCGCCCCAACGAATTTGTTCGCCTGTTCTTGGCGCGTATGACCTTCTGGAGGTAGCTGATGCACAACTTGCACTGCACTTGACGCGTTGCGCTGCCTATGTGCCTATTTGTGTCATGCAATCTCAGGTTCCACTTCAGCAATCGACCCGGCTTTCGCATGGACTTCATTTCAGTATCGTGAACACAATTTCTCGGATCACGAACCACATCGCCTGCTCGAAAGTCTTTAGGGATGAGGACTTGTATGTACTCGAGATCGTTAATATATACAATGAAGTTGCGATTACACGCCGTCCAAATTCGTCCGTCAGCACCGCGAGATGCTCCTAATGAGGAAACAGCGAAGGACCTATGTGCAGATCTTCCTCGCCCCGTTTCCGGTGAGGCTCCATTTGGTCTTATTGACAGTGCACGGGTTCTCCGTCACACTGGTTCCATCGACCTTCAACGCGATAGCGATATCCCTGCTGTTCGCAAACTCGGTCCTAGCCGCGAGACGAACCTCACCACCACCACTAACAGTACCAGCCTTGATGTTGACATTGTAGCAGTTCTCGAGCAAAATCGCGTTGTTACCCGTGTTGGCGACATCGATCGTACCGATCTCCGCACCTCCAGACGCAGATACACAGAAGATGCCGCGACCGCCGCCACGAGCCTTGACGCGGTTGACGTAGATGTTGGTGCCGTATCCGCCGTTGACCTTTCCGGCTTCGTTGGCGAAGCGGAGAGCCGCGTAGCCAGTGCCAGCGCCGCAGTTGTCGCAGTCTACGGTGCCGACCTTCGCGTTGGTGACCTTCTGGAGGAGAAGGCCGCATTCTCCGACGTTCTTGCCGACGACCGAGCCGATGTCGAGCTTGTCGATGTTCCTGAAGATATGGAGTCAGCTTATGTCTTGCATGCAGTTTGTGCAGTCGTATCCTTACCATGTCTCAACGCAATGCGACGTGCCGCCGTTGCAGGTGATGGTGCCCAT